AGGCCAGCTGGCTGCCCATTTACACTTTATGGATTTTCTCCCTTCTACAGTAGGGCCCTTGGTAATGCTGAGATTTTCTGTGATGGCCCTAACCAATAAAAGAGGGAAGGATGACATTTGTGGTAAAAAACTACCAGTGGCAGGAAGGACACAGTACAATACATGGTCTCCTCAGCTCTTAGGTCTTTCATCCACTGTGGAAGAAAAATATCTCAGAAAAGAGAATTGACTGTGCTGTAGGTATTTACATGTTCATAAACTGTTTCAGTTCCTGAGTTCCATTCAAGGGACAATCAGTATTCCTTGGTACAAATGTGGTAATGTGGAAATGTACATCAGTCCTGATTAACAATCACTCACATGGATTTGCACAAAAGGATAATGATGGACTCACAGGAATTCCATTGCCCATCCTCTGATTTTTAAACCATAGACATGTGAAATATGTTCGTAGTGTGGTAGAGATTAAAAAGGAGGAAGCTGTGATAGTACAATCACATCCTTTTACCCACAGTAGTCCTAACTGTGAGTGAAGTCTCACTCAAAGTGTGACAATAACTCCATGTTAGTTTTTCTGGCTGAGAGTCTGCATTTTTACCATAATTTTATGTAATTCTTTCAGAATTGGAAGGGAAATACAGCAATCTCATATGTTCCTGACACATTCATTTATATCACAGGAACCAGTTACTTGAGCTTACAACTCGAAGTTAATAAATTCTGTAAGCAGCGTCACAATGCTAAAATTGGTTGATAAGGCCACTTCACCCACAGAAAGCATCCACTGTCCCCTTCCAAGGAAGAATTGTCCTGTTTCAAGACTTCATGTAAAATAACATGTAGGTTAACATTATTCAGCATGCTAAAGGCAAAACTCCATCCCTAAGGAAAAGTGAGAACAGAGCTCCTGCTGCAGCTATGGTGGAAGAAGGATGGTCCTTCCCAGGCTGTGAAGCCACACATGCTTTGCACACTGGTGGAACCATCCTGTTACCAGGACAGACCTTACCTGACTTTCTCTGCACGGAGGTAGCAGGGCTCAAGGTTGCTGTGCTGCACAGCCAAACCCTACCTGGCTGTTTGACTGGCAGGGAAATGAGATGATACTTCCACGCAGGTTATTTTTAATGTGATCTGCTCTCCTTGAAAAAATAGAAACAGTCTAGTATGTTTAACCGTGGGTTAATTATATCTCCATTTTCAACCAGGGTTTATCCCATCCCCATTATATTTCTGTAACATATTTTGAATGAGCTTTCAATCCTGCCACATCAAGTGTTTTTTTAATGTAATTCTTCTGCTAGTCAGAAATATTAGTAATTAAATTCTCTCAAATACGCTAGTGTAAAGCAGAGGGAGAACATCCCAATTCTATCAGCACTGGTGTTAATTATTTTAGGCAAGCTGTCATTTATGTTTTCTAAAGTGGATTTTGTTCTTGCAGTCAGGAACATTGCTTAGTGCAGAATTAATTAATCATTATAAATATAAAACCTGCAGTATCAGCTTCTGTGTTCAGTAAGGTTTCAAGAGGCAAGGTTGAAGGAGTCAATAGGCTGCTGTGGGGAATCATGGTTTTTTTCATCTGATACAAGGACAATTAAATTATATGCCTAATCTTTACAGGAATATGTATTTAAAGCATCATCGCAAAATATTAAAAAAAAGAAAAATTGATAATTTATTGTGACTTGCAGCTTTTACTAATGCAATATTGTTTTTAAAAGTGCTGTATAAAACAAGATTAGTGAGGAAGAAACTGAAAAGCTAAGCTTACTATAAATTTTAAGAGTTGTATTTAAAGGTGTCTTTCTTATTTTAGTTATTTGGAAAATGGTTGAGTCATTAATTTCCTTGCCAGTACAAACACCAGCATAAAGATCTACAAGACCACAAAAATAAACAGATAATAATCTGACTTTGCCTAGAGGATGCTGTGTAAGATCTGAATGCAAGCACTTAAAACTATAGGGGTAGTTTTACTGGAAGAGGCCAGTGAAGTCTGACAGCTCAGAAAAACTGAAATTAATGATGAAATAAGCTAAAAAATTTAATCTTGCTATTTGGTATAAGCGATGTTGGCTTTTTCTTTTCTTTATCTGCTCTCTTATTTTCCCCTCAGAATGCAATTAAGGCACATTCTTTCTCAATAAAAATGGAAGTGATGTCATTGTCTAAGACACGCACTGACTTTGCACCAGCAGAAAACTGGCTGATTATTTTCTAGTACAGGGATTAAAAATGTGATGTATGGCCAGTAGCTTTACAGAGTTTCTGACCATCATGTTGCATGTCCCATTGTTTTACAATATAGATATGCTGGCATTTAATCTCCAAAAGCAATGGATAATGTCAGACTTTGAGAAGGGGAGGGAAATCAAATCTACCTAGAGATACCTACTCAGGATCCTATGAAATACATATAACCTTCTGTTGGAAATGCACTCTCTACTTTCCAAAGGCATTCTCTTGACATGTAGGTTGTATGTGATTGAAAGGTATGGGTCTGTCTGTGCAATAGATAATATTAATTATGTAAGCTTCCTCAGTTTTATAGTTTATTGTAAAAGATATTATTTCATGATTTGTATCACTACAATTGTGTTTGTAATGGGATTTTAATTGATTTTGAATCCAATTAAAAAAATCCCTATTTTTAAAGCACACCTCAGCTGCTGCCACTTTGAATCTGTGCCAAGCTGGCAGACTGTAACTCATTGTGTCATCATTGAAATGTCTTGCTGCAGTGCTGGAGTTAGGGATTCAGAAATGATCTGCATTTAATACAGTCTCTTAACTTGCAGCCATTTCAGAACTTAGGAATTCTGAAATCTTCAATAAGCATGTTACTGACAGTCTGTAGGCATCTGGTAGGATTGTGTTGTTTCACTTACTCTTGACACTTGTTGAGCTGATAATCTTTTAAAGATACTTTTATTAAGAAGTGCAATTATTTTCCCAATACATGCTTGGATTTTGGTTTTACCTCAAAACATTATTTACCCAGATAAACATAGGATTTGGAAGGCATGCAATTGATCAAATACAACTCACAAACATCTCTCCTTGTCTTGAACACAGCATAAATCCACATCCAAACATTCACAAGGTTTGCAGTGGGCAGAAATACAGATGATCATTCCTTCATTTGGGATTCTTGTATCCACTCTGTGTTACACTCATGAAGCTATTTCCTGACCCTCTTATACCTGTGTTGATTAAAAATGCGTAGAATTTGAGCTGACATGTTTTAGATAATTATCTGTTATAAGATAAACAGTGGTTACTTAATACATGCAAAAACCTTTCTTAGTATTTGAAGTAAGGTCACATAAGCTCATTTGACCACAAAGAGGGGATATTACTGCCCTCAGGCTGAAGCAAGAGCCTAACTAGCATTGGAAACTGTGGCTCGTCTCCCAAGATCATGTATATTCTGGTATTGCAGATGATGATCTTGGTTCATGTTTCAATCTGTGGAGCTTTCCAGAGCAAACTTTCCATTAACCCAGAAGATTCTAAAAGGTTAATTAATCACTGACTGGGTCTGAGGGAAATTGCAGCAAACTATTGCTCAAAAGTATTAAAGTGCTCTTTACAGTTGGCTTCAGGTAGTATTACCTAATCCCAGGAATGGCTTTAACCCTCAGGCACTAGTTCATTGTGGTTGGCCTCAAGTGCAGTCAATAATCTGTATTTGCTATTAGGGCTCTGCTAGTAATTGAATTTTGGTTTAGTGGAAGAACCAAACATTTCAAAGAACAAAAAAAAAACAAAAAACAAACCCAAACCCTCCATAACTCCCTTTGGTTTAGGTTCTGTGATTCTGTATCTTTTGAGAGTATTTTTGATAACCATGAAAAAATGAACGTAGAAGGGTGTTACCTACACCTGCTTCTGAAAACAAGAATTTGATCATCTTTCCTCCCTCCTTATAGGTGAGTCTTCTAACCACTAAGCTTTGAGACATTGATTTTTTTTCCTCTTGAAATCGTTCCACATTTCATAAATGTTCAGACACTAATTAGTGCAGAAGCTGGTACCTAACTACGAAGGCACACTTTTCTTCAGAGCTGTGCAAGTATTCACATAAATGAATGAAGAGAATATCAAGCCAGATAATGAGTCAGCTCCAGGACTGGTATGGTTATGTCAGTGCAAGGCTGTGCCCAGGCTAATTAGCTCATTTGAAGAGAAGAGCTAATTAACTCTGGAAGAGCAGTGAGCGGCTGCTTCTTATACACAGCTACTGTTTCTGCCACTCACATCTGCAGTACTTGTGTAGTTCTGAGTCTACTGTGTAGTCCTCTGGATGCAGCATTCCTTGGTGCAGGCCATCCCTATGCTCTGAAAATGTGCTATATGGATGTGCTTAGCTCCAGTAAATTTGTGGGTTTTTTTGGTTCATCCCTTTCATCACTTTTTCTCTGCCTTTGTTCGTCACACATACTATAATGCTGAAACTTGTTTAGCAGCACAGGTTCTCCCTCTGAAATAAATGAAAGATATTTGGGGTATGAGAAACATGTGAAAGAAGCCATAAAATTGCACAGACATGAACAATTTCTAATGGCCCCTCTGCTTTGAATGAATGTTATTAGGAGCTGCTTAGCTGACATACCCCAACTGTGTGGCAAGGCAGACAGGCATGTGGGTAAAGGCACATGTGACTTTTCTAGCAAAGACTGATTAGAATTTCCCATTTAAAACTTGTCCTTATGTTTTCAAATAGCAGCACTATATAAAAGATGCAATTCTATTATTCTGCAGTTTCATTTTTTTAATATAAACTCTGAATACAGGCTAATACATCTTCTTTCCCTATGCTACCCTGGAGTGTAACCCACTGAATAAAGAATAGCTCCCTATGCAACTGAGCATTATGTTATAATGAAGAGACTCAGTTATCAGATTATTAATATTTCTAAATGAAGCAATCATTCTGAAACAAGAAAAATAAGAAATGTTTCTATCTATTTTATATTTGAATTAGGGTGTTTTCAATCCCATTATTACAAATTAGTTCAATAGAGCTTGCACAAAACAGGTCCAGATAATAAAAAAACTGTTGAGTTGTTACATATGTTAAGTTTCTGAGTACTATTGGTTGCCATAACTCAACTAAACAGGCAAGTGAGACATTTAGACACCTGATGGCAATCTTTCATTAAATTTGGTTAGGTATGATTTGTGCCTCATCCTGTATGACAACGTCTCAGACATAACAATACAATTTAGTTTTGTATAGGACTTCAGTCAAGAAAACCCCACAAAGAATTCTTATGATGAGATGCATAAGGGAGAGATAACACTTCTTGGATGTGGGTTCAGTGGTTCCCAGAAAGGCAGTATACAAAAAAAATTACATTAGCTGCAAAAATTAGAGGGGAAAACCCAGCAATTTTAAAGCAGCAAAGACAGTTATGCATTTTTGCAGCCAGTTGGAGTGAGAATAAACTGGAAGAAAGTGGCAAAGGGAGGAAAAGGTAAGTGAGGTTTATGTTGTGTTAAATGATGCAACATAACCTAATGCCATGCATGAATTGTGTTACTTCAGAGACTTAAACAGATGTTGTTCACTATTTCTTAGGGCTGACTGGCCAGCTAGCCTAGCTTTCTTATTGCTATGCCAAGTACAATAAACTTATTTTTACAAAACGAATATGATCATGTGTGACAAATTCTACCCTACCTCACTATCTGTAGTCATCTTAAATGTACTAAAATTTGCAGCTCCATATTTGAGGTTAGGAGGAAGACAAGCTGCAGGAAATGTGCATTCAAACCCATTTGGTAGGTGATGTAATAAGTAACAGTCCAAGTGTTTGTCAGTCTGTCAGCGCCAAAGACTCTGACATACAGTTCTACAGAGCTTGACAAAACCTTCTAAGAGGGAATTGTAGTTGTCAGACCCCTTTGGTTCCTGATGCAGTTTTGTAGGAGCCAAGGAGACAGAGTTTGGATTCTCTAACTTATTCTGGATACAAGGATCATTTCTGCTCTTTCCCTCGTGATGGGGGTTTGTTTAATAGTGCATCTGTCTTCCTTCTCTGTCTCCCAGAGAACCCCAACACAGTTATTTACACTGGTCACACTGAAGAGGTACTTTATGTGCATCCAATTCTTCTGTCCCTGCCTGAAGGGCTCAAGCACAGCTGGTGAGTGCAGACAGATGGAGAAGGGCAGGTAAATTGTGAGACAGCCACGGTTCGCTCACCAGACAGTGGTTTCGTCTCGACAACTGCCCAACTGTGGAAGCATATTGTGAGTGCCAGGGGCTGTGGCAACAGAGAAAAAGACTTTGATTAGTTTTCAGGAGGTAGAACAAGAACCTGGCACTCTTTTCTTCCTGAAAATACTGTGTTACCCAAAAAACAGCTTAAAGAAGGGATGCATTTAGTATTACAAATAAGTGTAAACACAAATGGGTGCTTGGTCCTGGACAAAGCTTAAAGTGACCCATTTATGCTAGAGGAGTCACTCTAGTGTGTTATTGATGTGAGAGACAAATGCAGTCAAAATGATTACTTTCTGAAACATCTTTTGATTTTAGGGAAAAATGGTTCCTTGGATCAGGCTACAATCTGTAATTCTGAAAACCTTAAAAATAAACAACTACCTGATAGAGAGAGGCAGAGGCGCCAGCCACCAGCATTTACTTCAGAGTAGAGGAATCCCTATAGGAAGGAACAAAGGATCTCTCCCATTATTTCTGTCCATATCCCTGAGGGAGAACAATGACAAAAATCAAAGGGGTAAATGTTACCCTTTCTTCTCAGTCCACCCAGCCCCAGAGCATTACGGAGCCATTCAGCCATAAGGCGATACCTGGTTACTTGGGAAGTGCAGAGAGGATGTGAAGTGCTGCTTCCTCTTCAGAGGTAGAAGCTGATATTCTTCATCTGTGACAGCTGGTGGGCAGTCAAGATGCAGTCAGACAGCCTTGTGTTTGAATCCTCTCCGAGTGTTTATCTCTCAGATACAACATACATCAATCTTACCTTTCAAAGGTTTCTTTTTTATCAGCATGAAATAGTTATTCTGTTTTATAGAAGATGAATGTACTGTGTTGAATAGACAAGTGAACAAACAAATCAAACACTGATTTTTGCTTTGACCTATTGCCTCAGAAAAAGGCTTCCTATGGTCATAATGTAAAAGGTGCTAATGTCAAATTAATGTCTCTACGTTCAAATTTTATTTAGTACTAGAAAAATTGAAAGGAGGTCCTAAAATTCCTAAAACTGTGTTAATAATTGAAATAGGACATTCAGCTTCTGCTCCAAGAAGTGTTCCTTGAGCAGTACACCGGTCTGAGGATAAAGGCTGGAATATATAAATTTAACCTTTAAAAGAACAGAGTTTAAAAGGCTAGAGATAAATGTTTTACAAACATTGTCTTGAGCTCTTCTTTTAATCCTCATAGAATTGAAATAAAACTGCATGTATCCATGTAAGTAATATTCCTTGCCACAAGTGAGTATGTTCTCCCCACCCACTTGCCCTCCAAAAGGTTATAATCCACTCTTACCCCAAATAAATATGAAAAATCATAAGGATGGATGTCAAAGGAAGTGATATAGATTATACTCAGGAAAGAAATAAGGAGTGAGTGATCACCTCATGGACATGTCTCCCAACTCTGTTGTGTTTTGGAACAAACACAACAAACTTTTACTGCTTCCTACTCACCTTCTAGTGACATTTACTGGCTTCCAGTCAACCACTTTTCCTGTAAACATGTCAGCTGCAGTTGCTTTTTATTGGTGTAGTAGCTTAACCCCAGCCAGAAGTCCCATGCAGCCGCTGGCTCACTCCCTGAGAGAGACTGAAATGTTAAAGATTAATGACTCAGACAGTCGCCCATTTGCAAAAGCAGCAGGTGCTTTGCTGAGGCCAGGTTTGCACGCACACCCCCCAGCTGAAGGCGGGGAGGAGGGTTTTGGATGTGGTGAAACCTCTGATCTGTGTAGGAGCAGCCCAGGTGCAAAGGGGGTGTGCACCCACCACCAGAGGTTAACCACAACAAATTGACCTTTCCTAGCAATGAGCTGGGTCTTGAGCCACATGAGGGAAGAGGCCAAAAAGAAGAAGATCTTGCAGGGTGGGACAGTGCTTTTCATTATGCCTGTGGCTACCTTAACACAACTGGTTCAGGTGTAAAACTTCCCTCTGGGAAGGTATTGTGACGTTCACACGTAGGCCTAAAATTATTCATCCTTTCTGATGGGGCATAACTGGCTCAGCTGTGCTGACAAGAGAGACAGCTGTCATGTCTTAGGTGTCATAAACCATCAAAGACCCCTGAAGCATCCCCAGACTTATTCTGGGGCCTCCCACCAGAGGACTGCACGTGATCCACAGTGTTACATCAGTGTAAAACTATCCCCCCACCAGGAGAGGTGCCTGGACCTTCCCACCTGATCCTAATTAACCCACTGAAATTTGTGCTTTTCAGGCTTCCCCCACCCCCAATGGATCAAGACTGGGCAACCTTCCAGTCAACAGACACCAAAATTGCAACAATCAAGTCTCATCTGGATCTATCCATGGGTGGTGATATCTTTCTACTCTTATCCTTTTTTTCTCTTTCTTTCTTTTCCTTGTACATTTTCTAACTGCTATTTTTATGTTTTTATATTGCTATATTTCTACACCTAACAACCAGACTGACTACATATTTCCTTTCCATTGCAACCAAATTGATCTGAAATAAATCTGCCATATATATATATATATTTATAAACAATGGTCATTTAGTGTTGTTTCACTCTAATCTGCCCCAAAGGATCTACTATTAACAAGAACTACAGTTAACCCACCTTCAGGGGCAGGTCATAATACTCCCCAGCCAGCATGGTCTGGAAGGGAAAAAGCTAAAAAACTCATGGGTTGAGATAAAGACAGCTTAACACGGAAAGCAAAAGCCACACAAGCAAACAAAGCAAAACAAGGAATTCATTCACCACTTCCATGGGCAGGCATGTGTTCAGCCACCCCTGGGAGAGCAGAGCCCCTCCATGCCTAATGGTGACTTGGGAAGGCAAATGCCATCACTCCAGAAGTCCCCTCCTTCCTCTTCTCGCCCTGCACACTGAGCATGTTGTCACATGGTACGTGCCAGAGACTGGAAAGGTTGACGTCTCAAGACATTTTAGGATGCCTGTAGGTTGTGGCAGGGGGGCAGGTCACGCCTTGCCTTGCCAAAGTAATGAACTCCTTCCACCCCAACACCCCTGAGCTTGTATCCCAGCCTAGCAGAGCTGCCAATCACTGACACACCAGAGACTGTGCTAACCCCATTCCTGAGGGGCAGAGTGACCAGAAGCCCCACCTAGGGGGTGGGCCCACAGAGGCCATTGGCTATTTAAGGATGAGCCGGAGATGAGCATGTCTTCATCCTCCCCACTACTGGAGTGTGTATATAATCCATGCTGGAACCCAGGATTTGGTAGCTATATGTGTGTGTTTCTTATCTTTTCTCTTCTTGTTCTTGAAATGTTCCTTTTCTTTGAACATTTTGGGTAACTTAACATCAAACACGCTTAAAGTTTGCTAAATCAAGTGGGCTGGATTAATACTGTGAGAAGTGTTTTATGTTGACTGGATGTTGTATTGAATCTTTTACCAAGGTTCCTTGGTTTTCTATATTTTGCCAGTAAAGTAATTTTGATCTCTTGAGACTATCTGGTCTATTTAACCGTAAGTACAAGGACCTTTGTAAACCCCTTCTGTTTAAATGTTGGGGCCTTACAGTGTGAAATAGCCCTTTGGTTAGCGGGGTGCCTGTCCTCGCTGTGTCTCCTCCCAGCTTCCTTTGCCGACCGGGCAGTATAAAAAGCAGAAAAGTCCTTAACTCTGTAAACACTCAGCAAGAACGAAAACATCTCTATGCTGTCAGCCCTGTGTTCAGCATAGATCCAAAACACAGGCCCATACTGGGAACGAAACTCTAACATTAACTCTACCCCAGTCAGAACCAGCACACTTGATAAAAGAGACAACAGTTGTTTAACTACAGGCTTAACTTTTAATGGGAAGGCAGATTTTTCAAATATTAGAAATGCAAACAAGTCCTTTGGTCTTGGACAATTTGGTCTTTTCTCATTACCCCTCTAATATGATCCCCTGTTTGATTTTGGTACTGTCAGAAATCTTCCTCACCTTTGCTTATCTAGAATTTCAAAGCAGCTCTGGACCAGTCTTCTCCATGTTCAACTCCAGGTGAACACTTTCTTTTCACCATCACAATCAACAGGGATTAGGTAAGCAACAAACAGAGTAATTAGAAGCATTATGTAATTCCATATACCAGCTACAGGTCTATGGATTAATGACTATTAAAACACTCTTGGCAGACTGTGTGAGCGGAACTGCACTGGAGTCTGTAGCAGAGATCTAATTTGCTTTTCTAAACTTTCCTTTGTATTTTTGTGTTGCTGTTGTTTTTATCCCAAAAGATTTAATTTATACAAAGCTGAAAAGCTGTTATTAATACCGGAAACCCAAACCTGCTGCTTTCAGGAAAATTTCTTTCCAATTTTCCTTGCAGAATTGCCATTTCTTTGATGTTTGACAGGGACTTGAAACCTGGGATAGAGTGACCCATATAGGAAGAAAGAAAATAGGGACACTACATTTTTGTTAGAAAAACTAGGACATCTGGTCACCTCATTTATTACCAAAAAGAATATCTTCAGAAAATGATATCTCTAGGTACAGGGATTTGATGATTTCTTAACAGTAAGAGGAAAACAGAGACTCTGTTAATTAAAAGTTGATCTAAATTCCATTTGAGGGTAGGAATTTTGAATTTTTAAACAAGAAACTGTAATTTTGCTTATTAAATTTACACTAAAAAGAGATTCCTATGTCTAAAACTGAAAGCCCATTCATGTAATTAACATTGTAATAAATCCAGATACACTAAGCCCCTCCAACATTAACATGATGTGCTTCTCAGCTATACACCTTCAAACCTGTTAGAAAACCTCTGTAAGAGGTTTATTTTATAGTCTGCTGGAATGGAGTGTTTTATAGGCAGAGAAATCCTTTGCATGGGCCATACATAATAGGGCAGAGATACATTAATGATGAGAACATGAAACATAACCATGTAAACTCTGAAGAAGAATGTCATTACAATCAAATATATCAGTGAACAAGGTTCACAAGTACTGCAAAAGCCTGAAAGATAAAGCTGAGATCTGAACTCTCTATATGGTGATGTACAGAAAGAGTGGATTCTTTTACGTTCTTAAAATGTAAAGAAAGATTTTGAAATGAGTATTTAGAGAAATCAATTTGTCTTTAAAACCATGTTGTTTTGGGCAAGTTTTTTTACTGGTAGGAAAGATTCCATGTTTTGATAATTTTAAAGCATTTTCACTCTGACATCAGAAGTAATGTAATCTCTGATCACCAAACACTTTACTGCCAGAGAATGGTTCACAAAACATTGCTTCACAGCTTCATCATGCATAGCAGAACTGGTTAATGAGCTCCATAGTGTTTGGTCTAAGGCCCAAACTTTATTCTTTCCAAGGTTCTGTCTTAGTATGGTCACGTCAGATTCAGTCAGCTATGTTACTGAGCTTCTTGAATGGCCTCCCTTTACTGTTTCCTGACAGGTTTGTTGCTCCAGGGACACCCACACCAATTTGCAGCTTGCCAGTGAAGCACCAATAGTTTCCATGCTACCTTGCCTTCTTCACCAGCTTCCACATTCCCTGTTGTCCTGCAGCAAATAACCCAGAGGATCTCCCTTTGTCATCTTAGAAGTTCCTAAAATCAATCTCCCCTTTCCTTCTCTCTATTTGTAGTATTCAAACCAACATCCAGCTCATCCCTTGCAATCTCCAGCCATTTCTGTATTTCCTTTGCATCTCTTAAGGTGCAACATACATGAACCTTGGCTACACAAGGCACTGAATAACATTTTCTGCAGCATGTTATCTCTAAGTCTTAAGTTCTCAGCAAGGATTTGCATTTTATTACTGTACAATTAGATATAATCAAGACAGCAGTGGTTTCAGGTGGTAGCTTCAGTCTTGGATTAAGTGTGATAGATCACATAGTTTTGCTAACTGACTTCAAAGCCTTTTATTTTGTTTTGTTTCCAAATGTTTCTTCAGGGCTCTGCTAGTGCAGGACATATGCTGTTCATGGTTTGAATGCTCTGTCTTCTCTCTCTGCTGCTTAATCAATTTGTGATCAGTTTGTTATATATGTTCGTTTTTCATATTTGTACTCATTGTGTTACTAATGTTCTGGATGATGGGAATGAAATTAAGCAACCAAAGTTACCAAAGAGACCTTTTGAAGGAACCTTAATTTTATTAGCTCAGGAGGAGTATGGAATTTGAGCCATGCTGAGATAACATCACACAGTAGGTCACACCCAAGGGCTGACATTATCTCCCAGGAGCACACACTCCTGGGGTGTCTTATTAATTATAGTTAATTGCATGGGAATTAATGAGCTTTTTGAGTGAATACTGGGCTACTCTACAGCTGTGAAACAAACTATATTAACTTTTGTTTTTATGTTTCTTGGTCTTTGAACAGTTAAATGCTTTCGCTTATCTTAATTCACTCTCCACTCTTCTAGTGTATAACTAATTTAATATTTTTTATTGTTTCCCAGCACCACTGTTATATGCTTTCAGTAAGAAATTTTTTCCACTATTTTTATTGTGTTTTTTATCTCTGCCTAAAAAAGGAAATTTACCTCATTTACCTTAAAATTCCCCTTGATTTGAGAAAGGTTTAAAAGCCATTTTCAAGTATAAATATCTGAGACATAATGCAGGATTCTGTTAGTCTTCAGTTCTTAT